CAGGAATGTGATTCAGACCTGTTTCGAATTTTCATCGTGTTACTCGGCGGTGTGTTTTTTGCGTAATCAGGAATGATGTGTGTTTCTGGGAATTTGTTCTGAGTGGAACTTTAGATAAGTAGCACCCATCGGTCTGTTCCTTTGAGGGGCGGAGGAAGGGGTTCATTGATGAGTTACTTCCTGGTGTCTTGTCTCACATGTCACGTGGTCGTCATAAGTCATGACGTGCGTTTGGTTCCGTGGCACGTTGGAATGTATGTAGGCGGGTGATTGTACGTCGGTAAGCCCTTATTCCAGCAGAAATTAAAGACAGTTTTAGTTTATCTAAATGGTGGTAACACTGACATGAACCTTACCTCAGGCGACTCTTATATACGCGTTTTCGCGTGTCCGTGGCTTTATTGTAGATCATGAGGAGCGTCCCGCGGCCTCCGTCTAACCTTATGCATTCTTATAGGGGATGATATTGCAGATGATAAGCTTGGAATCAGTTCTGGCTCCGGTTTTAAGATCAGAATGGAGATTTTTACACGTTCTCGATACAAGATTCTCATGACTCAACACCCGTTATGAGAATCGTTTCCATTGTCTGCGGGAGAGGGTTTATGCCTAGAGTTAAGTTTTAATTTACCTGATATGTGATGGTCGCAGCACCGAGAGAGGTGGTCCTTAAGAGTTCACTTTTAAGTTAAAAGACCAAAAGTAATTGTCATTATTACTCCGCATTGGATCCATAGAATCCATCCTCTTCGAAAATGGCAGAAGTAGACAGCGGTTCGGTTAGGGGGAAGTGGGCGAGAGAATCTGTAAACTGGCCCAGCGTGGATTTGAGGTCTTCTGGACTGTAGTGCCTGGTAGAGGTCCTTTCTCCTACCATCACCGTGCTAATAATGATTGTTGGATAGACTGGAACCTGAAACAAACGGCAGGTATGAGGAAATGAAGGAATGGACCCAAATCCGATAAAGCAGCCTAGTTTCAAAATGTCTCCCATACGTAGCCCCTTATCAGCAAGGTGGTTAGTTGCAGGAAAATCCGGTTGGACTTGGTTGGTTATTTATACTTACCTCTCTAATTTCAATGGGTGGGTCTCGGTTCATTCTATAGAGGGCGCTGCCTGTTTCCTGTGGCAGTGTTCGATCAGATTCTGTCATTTAGGTCCACCAGTTCCATGTCGCCTTCAGCTTCATCGACTCTCCCTCTCCCCCCCCCTCTCTCTCTCTCTCTCGCCCGATTTCTTTCATTAGTTTCTTTCTATTGCCGAGTTTTTGTAAGTGCTGATGAAGTTTTTCACGAATAGGCCTAAGATGAAAATGTTCGCTAGTTACCCCACATTTCAGAGTAATCAACATTATAACACGTCTTAAAGAAATCGCCGAACTTTGGGTCCGAGTTACTATTACTCCTGCTCGGTATTTGGGATGTCCCGACGCAGACACAGGATATCGTGGCTTGAATGTTTTGCACTTTTCCTTAGTTATCGCCATCCAAGTGCCGGGATAGTACGTTAAAGTAGGCCACTGCTGCGTACTGTCATATTCTTTGCATTTAATTTTTTGTTTGGACGCTGTAAAATCTGAGCTTCTGTCACCATCGTTAAACAAACCCCAAGAAGAGACAAAAGGAATTAAATTAAAAGAAGTCGCGTGGTCGCTGTCGTTTATTCGTCAAAGGTAATATCTACTGAGAGAGAGAGAACTTTGAAATGTGTCTCGTTTACGTAATGTTGTGACCATGAGATCATTTGCTGGCTGTATCCTGCATGCCGTGCCTCAGTGCTATGACCTACCTCCCGAAGAATGCTGGTGAGACACGGATCGTGTAGGCAGGTGATGTTTACTACACGAGGTTCGTGGTTCGCCGCAGGTCCGTAAACATTTTAAGCGTAGCAACGCATCTGACTTGTGTTATTTCGTGTCTCGGACAGAGCATCTGTTGTTGTGACTAAGGATGTTTCAACACGTTCAGTTGACCGGCCGTTTCCTTTCATTGACAACTGTCTTCTGGGGTGTTCGGCGCTGTGTAGAGAAGACGTCTTCATACCGCCTTGAGAACCCGAAATCTCACATCTTTCACGGTCATGGTCATTCTGCTACTCAACGCTGCATAATCAGAGCACCCAATGACGAAAATCAATGAACGTGTGGTTTGTAGTTTCTGGCATGTAGTCTCGTATGTGGTTTACTTTTGAAGATATCCGTCTTCTGGGTTATTGCGCTGTGTAGTCTGGTCGATGTTTACCAACGTTTCACAGGTCATACTGCCTCCATCATCAGGGCGATGAGTATGAAGATATCCGTCTTCTGGGTTATTGCGCTGTGTAGTCTGGTCGATGTTTACCAACGTTTCACAGGTCATACTGCCTCCATCATCAGGGCGATGAGTATGAAGATATCCGTCTTCTGGGTTATTGCGCTGTGTAGTCTGGTCGATGTTTACCAACGTTTCACAGGTCATACTGCCTCCGTCATCAGGGCGATCGTTAACATCGACCAGACTACACAGCGCAATAACCCAGAAGACGGATATCTTCATACTCACCGCTGTGAGAACCTCAAGTCTTACATGGTTTACTTTTATAGGCACTACTGAAAGGTGCAAAATTCCTTGTATTAGCGTCGCCCAGTCTAAATAGTTTGCCATTAAATTGGATGTGTATTTGCGAGTTTTACTAAAATTTATATTTACATTTCAATTTTGGTTGAAATTGGGGACCAGTAGTGGGAAATTTACATTGAGACTTACGTGTGCTTCTGTGCCCAGAAGTCACTGACTGGGGAATGTGCAGACTACCTTGGTAAACATAGTTTTCTTTGTTACTATGATTGTCTTGGTTACCATGACTACCTGTGGAATCCCCAGTGTAGGTTTGATATAGAAAGCCCGTATCATAAGAGTTGTCGTCTTCACGCTGCCCATCATTTAAAGTTCTTGCCTTTTGTTTCTAGCTGAGCACAACCCATCCAAATGGCTGGCCTACCTGAGTGAAGGAAGAGTGGGGGCCACTTCCACAGGAGAGATCATGTGGCTGCTGGATCTCTCCCATCCAGCATTGACCCATCAAGGTAATATCCTCATATCTCTGTCTATTAGACACTTTTACTGCTAAAAAGTACCACAATAAACAGCCATGTTCCTGAAACCTATAACTCACCAGCCTTTTTTAAACGTATATTTAGTTTGTCCACAGGGCATAACAAGCGAAAAGACCAACACCGGCAGAAGAATGATGTTAATGACCAATGAAAGTCCTTCGTAGATTTAGGTCGCTGTTTTTGTATGTTGCAGAATGTGGGAAATTGACGTGTTTCCGATACTACAGCGGTTTGAGTCTGACGTGCCTCGCTCAGTCAGAGCCTTTCACCGTCTTGTCCAGCAATGCGAAGCCTTTGGTTGCTGAAGGCACCTTACCAAGAAACAGTCCTGTTTTAAATTTCAAGAAGAAAGGTGTCGGGAACATGGGGTGTGAAACGTCTCAGTCGGCTATTAAACGCAGAGAATTACCATCGTCTGATCTCACGCGAGTTAAGGGAAGTAAAGTTTTTGTGAACAATAGTTCAGAAAGTGATTCTGAAGTTGAAAGTTCTGCTAAATATAGGAAGCAGAGAAGTGTAAGACTGTCGAAAAAGAAAGTGGCAATAGCGGATTCTCTGGATAAAAGAGTTGTGAATGGATATCCACCACACGTGAATGGAGGTGGGGAAGATGAGTCAGACAATTCAGACACATCTTTGGTTCCCAACCACAAACTCCACACATGGAATTCGCATGAATCTGCACAGAGAACACTTGATCTAGGAGATCGTTCGAGCGTCGTTCCGGAACGAATGGCCTTACGCGACAATGTGGATTACTATCCCATCTGGACAAAATCTCCTTTACCTTCACGTAGCAGGCAAGCATATTTGTTATGTTGACATTGATCGTCTCAGATAATGCAAAACAAAATTTAACCTATATATTGCAAATTTATGTTTTATGGTGTACTACAGTGTCAAAGTGTGTCTGCAGGCCATTACAGTTTATCTTTGTGACAACATGTGGCAGTATTGTATCAGAGAAGTGACACTGAAGAATTAAAAACTGTTGCCTTTCTTTGATTTATGAAGATGCAGTATCTTTCCTAAAATATTTTTGGACTGCTGCTGTAACTGTTGTGAAGTTGATAGATATTGCATCCAAACAATTGAGTTTTGTGTTGATTATGCAAAATTAAGCTCTATTATCTAGTTCACTTACTGGTTCAGTTCAAGTCTCTTCGTGAATTCCACTTGTCATATTTATGTATCCAAAAACAGGATGAGGGATGAAAATTTTATCAGTCACAGGGGAGGACTTTTTTTTTTCTGTTGTATTCCTCCATTCTTTTGAGGTAGTACATTGAATAATCAAGGGCATGGAGAAGGGTCTGTCTTGAAAAGCTGACAGCCACTCTTTTTGCAGAAATTTCCTACCTTTTATGATACCTAAAGGTTTTTTATAAATTCTGAATTCAATGCTATGAGGCATTCTCTAAGTTTAGTCTTCCTGGCTTCTTTGTGAATATAATTTTGATGTGTTAATGTCATTCACTAATATTTCAAAGTAGTTCCTGTACATTATTTGTGTGAATCTTACTCATTTCATTCTATTTCAGAGTTCTAGAAGATCAAGGAAATGAAGAACTGGTATCGGTATATGAGACATTGTATCCGCCATCATCAGATCCTCCGCCTCCACCCTTACCCCCACGCGCTTTTCCTCCCAGTTCTTCTGGGGGAGTAAGAAGCCCAAAACACCGCCCTTTAGAAAGAACAAGGGCATTGCCTTATCAAGGGGATTCTGTTACAATGAATCCTCCCGAAGTCCTCCGCCAGCATAAACCAGGGCCAGTGTTGTCATCTACAGGTGCGGACAAGGAAGATTGTAAAAGTGGTAAAGTGAAGTATAGACATTTGCATAATCAACAAGGACCAAGTTTACCTCCAAAACCAAGGAGATTATTAAATCCAGAAGACAGTTTTGCTTTCGAAATAATTGATACTGATGAACTGAGACCAGTCCAAACTATGAACATGGCTGTTATGAGCTTTTCTAGTCAGAATCCACAAAAACCTCAGGCAGTGTCATGTACAAAGCTCAAAGAAACTGGGAGATGTGAAACCCATCAGTTGGATGTTGGCAATGCTATTTCTAAAAACAATAACAATGAAGGTTTTCCACAGGCCCTCAGTATTTCTTCATTGAAGTCAAGAAGTGTGCTTAAAAATAATTCAGGTGAAGCAGATGGAGTGGAGGTTAGTATTCCGTGTAATTCTGATGACTTTAAAGGCATTGATGCTGCAAAAGCAATATCAAACGATAATCATAAGAGGCCAATGAAATTAGCAGTGACAGATGATTCTTGTAATGACAGTGGCAACGTGGAAGAAGGTGAAAGTTTTCCCATTGTTTCTGCTCCATTAGCAACACCTGAACAAGACAGTAGTCTAGTTGATAGTTCCTCACTGGAAAATCTTCTTGATGAAGAAGATGATGTTGTTTTCTTTACACATGACAATCAACAAGCTGTAGGAGAGAATTATATATGTCCTTTACAAGAGATCTTACCGATCTTGCCGCAAGATATTGTACCATCAAGTTCTTCTGTAACCACAAATGAAAGCGGTAAATGCCAAAGTTGCACACATTCTTGGCCAGTAAGTGACGTACAAGTCCTTTCTAGTGGTAAACAAAACAATGTCGGTAAAATTCGTATGTCTTCTAGTCATGAGACTGACCAAGATGGTTCATCACAGGTCAGTACAGGTGGTGTGATAACAGATTCTTGTTCTTTTGGATCTGCTTCAAATGATGGTACAATTAAAGTATTCATGTCACCATCTGACATTCCCTTAACTACAAAGCCCAGCAAACTTCTGCTTCATGCCTCTCAGTCGGAATCTGCTAACGCATTCAGTTTCCAGGATCGTGTGTGTGAAATGCCAGTCATACTAAAGGACATGCCAAATAGAGAAAAACAGACTGAAGGAGCAGTAAACAGTGCCAGTTTTCCACCTGATTTTGAATTAAATAACGCCGATAGTTCATGTTTTTTGTCAGTGCCGAATCTGTCATCTATGTCCATTTCTCCTGTTTCAACAAATTCATCATCTGAGTCTGGAATGGCTTTTTCAGCTGCTACAGAATGCAATACCGGTTCTGGTTCTGATGCAAATACAATGGTTCTTATTAACTACAGTTCAAGCACGGATTCTTTAGGTGCTGGCGTTCCAATGATTACAAACGTAGATATTTCTAATAGTGAATTATTAGAGAACGAATTGGGTGACTGTAGTGAAGATATAAGTTCACAGTTGAGAGATGAGGACGTTTCTTCTTGCATTGCTGCTGTTGGTGTAGATGAGAAAAATGCAGCAGAAGACAGTGCTGAGTTTGTTGATGTTAGCGCGGAGGTGCCCGTGTCTTCGACAGGTCCATCACTCCGCACTCACAAACCACTGTCAAGACAAGTCAGTCACCCGCCTATGACGACACTTGGTCAGAGTGTGGAACCAAGTGCAGCACACTTCTGCATTGCTGCAAGGTTGCCTGTTCAGCATCAGAATAGGGATGAAAGCTTGGCCACTGCTCCACGGCCTCGCAATAGGTAAGTTGCGTAGCCCTTTATTCTAATTTTGTGGACCTTATAATATCTGTTATTTCAATGTAACTGACTCCACTGTATCATAATGAAGTGCTCCACATATTTCATCAGCATTAATGTGATTGTGACACCTTCCAGTTTACTGCGTTGTGTCTCAGTTGGTAGTCTTGTCGCTCTTTGCCCTTGTTATAGTGCATACAGTAGAGCCCATTCCCTTGAACAGGATGCAAGTTTGGAATGTCGAGGGTGTTAATTCTAGATAGCGAAATGTATTTAGGTCATAGGTAAAGTGTGTCTTAAAATTAATTAAAGCAAAATAAAATTACGCATGTAGGTACTTTTATAATTGAGTGCTATATATAACATTTTATATGATTTTTTTAAGAACCAGAAGATATTATAAAAGTTTATTTGAGCCCTCAAGATGATAAACACAGAGTCCGAATCAGAATTGCTTGACAAAATTAGGGTAGGTCCAACATACTGAGTTTGATCAAAGCTGGTCATGTATGAAGTTGGCTATCTTCTGGGATGTTGCACTGTGTAGTCTGGTAAATATTGACCAACATCTCAGAGGCGCTTACTGCCTTCGTCATCAGGGCAATCGTCAGTTAATATCTACCAGACTACACAGTGCAACATCCCAGAAGACAGCCAACTTTGTACTTGTCAGTGTGCAAATCTAAAATCTTGCACATGTTTGGCCAGATAATTTGTTTCCTGGTAAATTGCACTTAAATGTAAAGTTAGTTTTTGCGTAAATGTTTATACCATAATATTTTTTAATACGTTTCCCAAACATCTGTTACTGAGTTATAATTTGTGTGTTTGCTGCCCAAAAAGTCTGCTTTGTCATTAGAAGTAAAATGAATGAGCCTGTTATTTGCTTGGTTGCATTGTGTTACAGGCTGCTGAGTCGTGTAGCAGCTGTTACAAGTCCAACGGGCATTCCTCAGTGTCCCCCTACACCCACACACCACGCACGCCCCACGAACAGACCTCTCCAAGATCAGGAGATGCAGCTGCATCCCGAAAGAGAACAGCTCCTTGCTGCAGCAACTGGTGCTGATCTAGGTATTACCTTAACAGAAATGTAAATGGTTCATTCACTCGATTTCATATCTTCGTAATTCTTCTGTGTCATCACTTTTCTCTTTTCTCATCTGGCACGGGGAGTCATCTACTACTTCGGTTGTTGCCAACTTGTTTCTAAATTTGTTTTAGAATTTAAAACAACAAAATCTGCAGTTGGTGTTTGATTTGAGAGCAGTAACTAATGAAGCATTTGAGTTGTACATGTGAAATATTGTATAGAGGTTGTTTTTAATTTACCAACAAATTGTCTGTCAAATATTGTTTACGTAGTGACGGTTCAGACATTAGTGGTAATGTCTGACTAATTTGATATTGTTAGGATCTGTAATAATGAAAATGGTGGAAGATCTGTGTTTAAATTACAGTTTTGGAAGTGCTGCATTGAATTAGTTCATTGTTCATGGGATGTCAAGATAAATATTGGAATTCCATCCTAACCAGCCTACTCGTCTGATATGAGATTTGAGGTTCTTATGACAGTGAAGATGTTGATGTTCGTCTTCTGGGTTTTAATGATTTTTGTTCCTCTGAAATGTTATAGTCTACCTACAAGTCCACGTGGTGTTACTACGTTTGTGACCAAGATCAAATTCGTACTGTTCTGGTTTTTGTTTTATGAAAACAATATTATAAATTGCTTTATATTGAATATCACATACTGTATAAATAACATGTTTACTATATAACATCTGTTGTTTGTCATGCAGTGTATTACATTGAAGTACTGATTGAGCCCTGGAATGAATCCTCGGTTGTGAAAGAAAATACGAAGTTATGAATTCTGAAGACAGATTTTGGATACTCAAAATCATGACTTTACGGATATAAACCCACAATTTACACAATCTTTGGCCTGAAACTAAATGGACTAAATTCTTCTGTAATTTAAAAGTAAAGTACTATGGATGAGACTTGTATTTCAAATCCTTTGACAGGTGTTGGAAATGCATGTAGCAGTTTTCCAAACTCATCTCAGGAAGCTTCCATATCTGATGAAGCGAGTTGTGCCCCGATGAACCAGACTCACGTGAGAGTTGGGGAAAACTGCTCCATCCTTCCTGTGTGCCATCTGGCCATGACACGGCTCCCGTCCATCCCTGAGAGGTCAGCAAAAAGCCAGAAGTTAGAGTTATCAGCTGAGGAGGAACCTTTGCCTCCTTGTAAGTATATGCATTGTGCACACAAAGCATTTGAAATGTGTTGTGGAAAGTATCCAAGTCGAAACTAAACTGATGTTTGTATACAATATTTTTAGTCAGCAGGAGTGATACCTATTTAGCACTTTTGAAACACTTACATGCCTTGCCAGTGTTTTTGCCTATTGTATTCATCAGCATCATGATTAAATCTACATTTCAGATTGGGAGGCTCGTATCGACAGTCACGGACGCATATTCTACATCGACCACGTGAACAGAACTACAACATGGCAGCGACCTTCTTCCAGTTCAGTGATGAGGGCAAGACCAATTACCAATGAGCTGCAGAGGCAGCAGCTGGACAGAAGGTGAGTCCAAGTTAAATGTTTATATGTGAAACCTTTATTTGTATCATGAAATATGTAATATTTATTTATCCTAAAAGTGACATTTTGTCCTGGCATTGATGCAAGCTGTGGAGGGAATGAAGGGACTATTATTTGCATTGTTTTTACTGTTTAGAAATCACAAGTATGTATGACATGTTTTGTGTGCTTCACATGTCTAAAACCATGTTACAGACATAAAACATCAGTCACTTTCCCCCCTGTTTGCATGGGTGAATGTTGTTATGTAGCTTTGCTCCACAATACTGTTTATCAGATATAAAATTTCCACTTTATTATTTACTGATATGCTGCAGTCACCATTAAATATTTATGTAGGTTGGTGGAGAAGAGGTTATTTGGAAGACTTAGCAGTCTGTTTTGTTGGTTCTGCCACTTACTCAAAAGTTCTTGGATGAACATGCAGGTATCAGAGCATCCGTCGAACCATCACGTCCAGGCGGTTGGACTTGGAGGATGGTATTTCTGCAAGTGGTGACAATGCTCAGGGCCATTCCCAGGCCATGTCAGATGGCAGTGGTAGTAGCAGTGGTGGGGAGCAGCAGAGATCTCTGCAGAATGCAGATGCTGTCCATCACATGCCAGCTGTGCGGTTCATCTGCAGACCTGACTTCTTCTCAATTCTGCACATGAACCAGGTATTTATATGTCACATACAAATCTGTGATTCTTTTGGTTTGAGGCTAAGACCATTGGCTCCTTTTATGTGTCTTACCTTCTGAACTTCTATGACCGAATCTGTGTCTGTTTCAGTATAGCATCTTGCTCTCAGTTGTTTTGAGTGAAATTCTTGCTCTTCCTTAGTTTCCAAACAACTGTAGTTGCACATTTTAACAAGTTGTAATGTTCAGAATTAATATTCATTCCATTTGCTTCTTGATAAAATATTCACACTGTTACAAGTTGCCACTGATTATGTATATACTATACTAATATTACGTGATGGAGAAGACTGAAAATTCATTAAGCATTTGAGTGTCAAAGTAAATAAAAACATGTGTCTGGAAAGTACCAAGTGATTTTACTAAAAAATGCAGGGTATTCCAAAAAAATATCAACATCTTTAGTTATTGCATATACAGTACTGAAATTTAGTTAAGTTTCACTGAACTTTGTGCAGTTTTCAGATAACTTTTCTTAATATGTCTTTCATTTCATTCTACAGGAAGCACTGTCATTATACAATCGTAATGGTTCCCTGAAGCACATGGTTTCCAAGATCCGCCGAGATCCGCAAACATTTGAGCGCTATCAACATAACAGGGACCTTGTTATGTTGGTCAATTTGTTCGCTGATTCATTAAGGGATCTTCCCCGGGGATGGGAAACAAAGTTTGATCGAAATGGAAAGGTAAAAGGGTTCTTTACTTGGAAACTGAAACTTGTAGTGTCTAAGGCAGAAATTACTCAATATAAGATTGGGCATTAGAATAGAGTTCAAAATTAAAAATAAATACATTTGAGTCAAGAAGCGTGTGGGGTGAGAGGTGGTGGTGTTTTATTAGATATTTTTGATGTACTGATTTGAATTTGTATAGAAATTCTCGTAACTAATTTTTGTGCTTCATTTTATTTTGCATATGACACATTTAGTTGCAGGGACAATAAATACGCCAGCGCAGTGGCCACGCGGTCTGAGGCATGGTCCTCGTGCACCCGGCCGCTGCGACCGTGGGTTCGAGTCCCACTCAAGGCATGGATGTTTGTCCGCGTCTCCTCTTCCAGTCTAGTGGGTAAAGACTGGCCACGGAAGGCAAGGCGAAATCACCGTGGTATTTTCGCAAGAAAACCCCGAAAGGGGTCACGACTGTCAAGCTTGACCATAGACGATAAAAAAAACAATAAATAATGGAGTTTATTAAAGAAAGTTCATGTTAAGATTCAATGTTATTGTTTGCATGTCACTAGACACTAGATGAACAGTCTGATGAACACAGGAGTGTAATATCGAAAAACTGTGATCCTTCAGAATCAGGATTTTCAGAGGGATAGGAAAGTGAAGGGCCACTCCTATTGAGTTTCCTTCGTGGTTTTCATGAGTAAAATTGTAAGCGAAAACAGTTTGTCTGTGGAAAATTGAGTTGAGAACAAAAGTCCAATATAGTTTCAGAATGCAGTCCATCTAACCTGGAGCATAGTATAAGAGAATCACCACAACAAAACAGAATCAGAACTGGCATTCATATTTAGAAATAACTGTGTGAAAGTGAGTTGTGTTACTGCTGGTTCAGAGGAACATTCTGCCTCCATCATCTTGATTGAAGTCATCCTTTTTCCACATGGTGCCAGCATATTTACAGTCATTCTCTAATTGTTCAGTAATTTCAAACAATTACTGTCTGGTGCTGCTGGATACCACAATACACTATATTTATTCTTAAGGTGTAGTGTTGGGTGTGATGAAAAACAGTCGTATGTTGAAAGTGGTGAAGTTTGTCCGTGTTCAGCGACTAGCTCCAGTAGGTCATCCGTGTATAATCCAAAGTCTGTTTATCTGAGGCAGTAGGAAATGCTCCACTCTTAATCATCCAGTATTTTCTTCTTTGCAGTATGCGACAATACATGAACAGTGTCATT